AAAGCTGTGATCGAACCCAACAAAATAATCTAATAAAATCGCCATTAAACAAGAATTTGATAACATTTTATTAACTTTGAATTTTAATAACTTTGCGGGTGGTTCCTGATTCAGGGTAAAATACCCCCCGGCAGTAGCTTTTCCTGCAGAATTCAACAACAATCATAAAGTATATGCTTGTGTATACACAATGGCAGCATCTAATCAGAATTGTGCTTATGGTGGAGCTGGTGACCATGTGCTCTTTAAACAGGATGAGGACAACGACGAGGATGTGTTTGTTTTTCTGCTGATGCTCACGGCCATTTGCTCTTTTCCCGTTTGCTACCCCACACACATTTCGCTCCGCACTTCCCTCGTGCAGTGAAAGTTTATTTTGTTTTGTCCCCGCGCCTCTCGACTGCTATATTTTGCAGTACTTTTTGGTATCCATTAAGTCCATGAAATTGTACGTGGGGGAAGCGACGGGCCAGAACAGGAACAGAATATTCGTTAAGTTGGGTATTCCGGACTCTGAAACTAAAATGACACAATCATGTATTCAGGTCAGTTGAAAAACAGAATAACTTTACATACATATATAAAATGTAGTATACAAATGAGTTTTGAGACTCCATAGTTATATCATATTGCGATGGATCGATTATATATGTCTCCTATTTCACTTAATTTATTTATTATTTATTTAATTTAGTCTCTCAAGAAATGCTATTCTATAAAGCTCACTATACTTTAAAATAACAACATCTTGCAGAAGAAAGATGGAATCGGCTTTAAGTTAGCTTTAAAAGTCAACAACATCCACACAAACTCTACCGCAAGCCCAACTCACCCACTTTGTGCACTCCTTTTTTTGGTTTTAGCTTTCTCTGCTCTAAGAGCACATTTTAGGGGTTTTTCTCCTTGTTTTTTTTTGCTGCTTAGTTTGGGAAAAACACGCAGCGACCGTTTTTCATATTTTCATTTATAAATTTATTATAAAGCCAACAGCAACACGGCAGTGGGAGCAAACGAAGGCGGGGGCAAGTTCTTGGAAGCCTGCTCGGGGTGGGCTTAATAGCCAGATCTGGGCTGAGAGGCTCGAGGCTCGAGGCTCTGCGGTTTAGACCTCGGCTACTTTGGCATTTATTTTAAATTATAGTTGGTAGTAATAACTAATGCTCCAAAAACGGGCGGCGCACTGTGCTGAGTGCGAGAAGGCCTTAGTTGCCATGTACGTAAAAATTATAGACATTTTGGACTTAAATTTGTTTTTGGTAGCTACCCGCTAATAACGGTATTGTGCAAGACCTGAAAAGGATTTTCTGTTCGGCAGGTTGGAATTTAGGATGTGGTGGCAAAGGATAACCGCATTTTGATATGACAGGAGTCAGGCGAAAAGTTGGTTTTCTAATTAAATTTACTACCAAGTTAATGTAAATTCAACAACTTTCTGCCAGCTCTGCATAATTATGGAAATTCCATTTTATGGAAAGTCTGTAGAGGTAGGAGACCAGTGTCATTTTTCGATTGCACTAATTGAAAATTCCTTAGCGCTCGCACCCACCCATATCTGAAAAGCTTTTCAAACACCCGGAGCACAAATATTCAGTGGGTAAATTAAATAAAACATTAATTGGCAAGCCCAGTCCATCTTGCCTCCCCATCACAAGTCGGATATGAAGAATAAGGAGTGAGTCTCGGTTCGCCTTATAAAATATGAGTAGAGGAAGCAAAGGGTCAGCCACAATCCAAAAGAAATCATATGTCCATAAGGGAAAATATAATATGTTTGCCAAGTGCAGAAAACGAAATAAGGTTTGGCAAACGGTCCAAAAGAACATGTTAAAGGGCAGCAAAGTGGAATTGTGCAAAGACTCCGGCAAGCGAAATAAACAAAAATTTCAGCGCTTAATTATGAAAAGTGCTTTTCTTATTTTGTTAGTCCCTTCCAACGTGTAAGGACAAAGTTGTGGCAAGCTCCAGAATAGCGCATATGGAAACATGGGTTAATGAGCGAGAATTATAATGAATTATTCCACGGAGCGAACAACCCTTGCGCTCGTAATTGGGTCAGTCTGGGATCCCAAAGGGCTGCTTGAGGGGTGGTTCTAACGGGGCCAATCAAATATTTGACGTTTGGTGGGGAAGGGCTTGTAACATTAAAGTTCGTCTAGATGTATTAACTAAGCGGGGCCACAAAACTTCGGGCTCTTATAAAATTTGGCCATTCAATAATCATAAAGTATTGATGCTTTAATTTACAAAAGAACGGTTCCACTGACAAAAATAAAAATAACTGGAAGCACGGATATGCTTAATGTGGGTTTGCGGTGTAGCCAACTGAGAGAGAACTGCTGTATTGGAGGAAGGGCAATCTCAGCGGACAACTGACCAACAATGGGGCAATGTGAGCTTCGCACCCAAGGTCTGATAAATATTTATTTGTAAGATTGTGGAACTTTTAGTGTGCGTGTTAATTACGAATTTGCAGGGCAAAAATATGAATAAATGTGTGTGAATGCGCTTTCCCTTTGTCACGCACATGGCAACCATTAGTTTTGTTGCTTAAGCGGCAGATAATCGAACGAATTAATGGTATGCGGCAAATGGAAAACACTTTTATTCATATTAATAAATCAGTTGGATTTTACTTGGGACCTGAAACCTTTAAGCGAAAAAAAATATATCTACACGAAGAAAAAATAAAACCCCTCAATCAATAATTACATATAGATTTCCTATTTGTATACCCTTACAAATGCGACTGGAATTCCAGTCATAAGTTTGCAACGCACTGAAGGAAATATTTTAACCTATAAGGCTTTAGTCTCTCAGTTCCAAAACTATCTAGATGAAACTTTTCCAAAAGTCTTCTTATTGTTGCAGGTATTATAAACCCAACCAAACGATCACCTTCTTGCACTGTTTTCCATCAGTTATTAATTTGTTAAGAATTTTGCGCTTTTTTTTCTTGGCTCTTTAATGAAAAATATCTGCGAATTGAATTGGTTTTTATAGATTTTATTCAATAGTACACTCATAATATTATTTTTCTGAAAAATAGACAAATTTTATTTTTCTACATTTAAGAAAATATTGATAAAATATAATAAATATTAGAAAATTTGGCTAAATATATAATTTTTAAGAAAATATTTTCTAAAATACAGGAATTTTTATTTTTTTGTCTCATATTTAAGCTGTTTTTTTGTAACTGCCGCCTCTGATTTTCTAAATTTACAGTTGAAATTTTCTAGATTTCAGAAAAAAATACACTTTCTTAAAATTAACAAAAACGCCCATAAGATTAGATAATTTTTTGTATATATAGAAATTTAATTTTCTAAAAAATAGAAACTTTTCTAAAAAACATATCCTTTTAAAATTAAAAAAGAATTTTCTAGGGAGTAAATGCCTCGGAATATCAAAGAATGCGTAGCTATTTTGTTCCCGGGTTAAAATCCTCGACAGGCTTACAAATTTTTTTTTTTTTGACTACTTACTATACTTCCGATAACAGATATAACAAGAAAGGAAGCAAACTTTGGCACAAATATTCTTAAAAACATTAAAATTATAATATACTTGCGTATACGTTTGAAAACATTGAAGCTATAATGTTTTGTCTCAGTTATTCGATGTCTCCTTTGACAGCTATACAATATCGTTTTCCGATTATAATTAAACTAAACGCGTAATTCTGAAAGGTCATATTATAAACAAGTCAAAAAGAATTTTAAAAAAACAAGAAAGAAAGCAAACTTCAGCAAGCCGAAGTTCATATACCCTTGCAGCATTGCAGTAAATAAAGATGTTTGAAAACATTAACTAAACATTATTTACTCGCGTATATGTTTAAGAACATTAAAGTTTTGATGATTTGCAATTATTAGATAGTTATTGTATGTATTTTTTTTATTTCTTTGGGAGCTATATGATATAGACGTCTGATTTTGATGAAATTTAAACCGTAATTCAAAAATATCTATCCATTACTATATGCCGAAGAACTAAAAAAAAAATTAGAAAACAGCAAAGCTATAATTTTATTTTTTTTTTATTGTTCCTATGGGAACTATATGCTATAGTCGTCCGATCCGTCTCGTCCCGACTTATGTACTTCCTGCAATTTTCATGTTTTCATGCAAGTTTCATTCAGATGCTTTAAAACTGAGAGACTAGTTTGCGTAAATGACGGACAGACGGACATGGCTAGATCGACTCTCCTAGTGATGCTGATCAAGAATATATATATACTTTATAGGTTCGGAAATGCCTCCTTCACTGCGTTGCAAACCCTCTGCAAGGGTATAAAAATTACGAAATAGAAAAGTTACATTTAAAAAAAAAATGTTTTTTTAGTTTTATTGTTTTCATAGTAGCTATATGATAAAGTCGTACGATTTTGATGAAATTTAAACCGTAATTCCAAAATATTGAACCATTACTACCATTTATGATCTTGAATTACATTAAACAAGAAAGGAAGCAAACTTCGACAAGCCGAAGTTCATATACCCTTGCAGCTAGTGCAAAAATTAAATATTCTTGAAAACATTAAAATATGATTTTATTGACTATATGTTTAAAAATATTGAAGCCAAGATGATTTGCAGCTTAATTATTTGATAGTTCCTATGGCAGCTATATGATATCTTTCAATTTCAATAAAATTAAATGCGTAATTCTGAACTGTCAAATTATTATTAAGTCAAAAAGAATTTAAAAAAACTAACAAAATAGAAAAGTAACATTTGAAACGATTTTTTTGTATTTTCTTCCGATTGTTTCTATGGGAGCTATATGATATAGTCGTCCGATTTGAATGAAATTTAAATCGTAATTCTGAAATATTTAACCATTACTATATGTCGAAGAACTAAAAAAAAATTAGAAAACAGAAAAGTTATATTTTTTTTTTTATTTATGTCGGCTCGTTCGGACTAATATACTACCTGCAATAGAAAGACAACTTTTGGGAAAGTTTCATGCAGATAGCTTTAAAACTGAGAGACTATTTTGCGTAGAATAAAAATATTTAAGACTTAGATGTTTTAAAAAAATATTTAATCTATGCAATAAAAATAAACTGTGACTTGCCAAGGAAATGCTTTAACGGAAAACGTTTCAATATTAATAAAATTGAATAAGTTAACTGTTTGTATTGACGTTAAATAGTTAGTTTTCCTTCTTGCTTAACTTATGTTTGTTATTAAGCTGTGTCTGTTTCAAATTGCCCTTGCTCTTCTTAAATAATACCCCAATAAATAACTTAATAACAAAGCATGTTGCAGCGATAGCTACAAGAAAGAGTGCGTATACATCAAAGTTATTCACTGCTATGTAGCTCATATGCACCACAGGGCTCTGGAGGTGCTGGGCTCCTCGGTGCCGGATCACATATTCCACCCAGTAGATGAACGTCTGTTGAGCGCTCATTGGACGATCCCGATAGAGATTGGAGAAGGATCTTACAGCCCTGGCATACTTGGGATTCTCGAGTACCTCTCGGATACCATTGCGGAAGGAGTCCTCTTCCAGAGTGAGAAGGCTTTGCTTCAGTCCGAAGCCCTGCTTTTGCATGATATCGGCATTGCTGGGCTGGTCTCCAAAAACAGGTAGGGCCAGCATTGGCTTACCGTGGAACTGCGCCTCGGTCACTCCCCCCTTTCCCGCGTGTGTAATGAACAGAGTGATGTTGGGGTGCGCTAGAATGTCGTCCTGGGGCAACCACTTTGAGTAGAGTATGTTTTCCGAAGATCCGGGCGTGTTCTCCAGATCATCCCATTTCCAGATCACTTTCTGTCTCAGGCCTGAGACGACATTGAACATTTTCTGCACCGTGTCGGGCTTGAGGTGGGTTTTTCTTAGGTTTGATCCCAAGCTGAGAAGTATGGCTCCGTGTGGAGCTTCCAGCAGGAACTCTGCCATGTTTCGGGGTAGAGGATCCGGACGATCCTTGACTTGAATTCCTCCCACCTCGATCACAGCTGGAACGTTGGGTCTGATAGGACCCTCGCTTATGCCGTGAGAGGCAAAGAAGACAAGTGAAATATTTTTGTTCAAGTCCCCGTAGCTGGGAAGAGTAGGATCATCGCCATAGATCTCCCTAAATGGAACGGGGAAATGGGTTTGTAATGAAGTGGCACGGAAAAAAGTTAATACCAACCTGTAAGTCCTCGCATTTCCATACTCAATCAAGAACATAAACAACCGCTGACCCAAATTTCCCAAGAGATTGAGAAACCGCTTTCCGAATCCCATGGGACTGCCATGATCGGTAGTTAAGTGCATTGCCGACACATATGAGACTTCCCAGGGGTTTCCGAGAACGTCGCCCAAGAGGGATGGTGGATTTGAGAGGGCCACCACTATAGGTACCTTCAGCTTGTAGCCCAAGGCAAGTTGGAAACTATTCATAAAGTAGCCCACGATGAGTAGGTCGAACCTGTTATCTGGGTGCTCATAGAGGTTTCTGACTGTCTGGTGCTTCATCACGCTGCCCATCTTGGTGAACGCCTCGCTCATTTGCCTCACCGAACGAAACATTGATGCGTAGGCGTTGGTATTGTCCGTCTTGGTTAATCCAGAAACAACAGAGTTGAAGGCCTGAAGGTCATCCTTTTCTAGTGGCACAAGGATGTGAGTGATATCCTTGTGTAAGAACGGAGGTTCTAAGACGGTTACAACAGTCACGTTGTGCCCTCTTTCTGCCAGTATACGGGCCATCGACATCTGGATTACCAAGTGCGATGGACTCAGGCTGGTGAATAGGCAAAGAATGTCAGCACCATGGACTCCAGCAATTATGGCCAGAATCTGGAGGGCAAGGCATTTTGAAATTCCGGCCATCTCACTAAGTCGGCTACTGCAAATATACTGGTCATTATTGTACTAGGTCTCGCCTTAAACGGTGTCAAACCGCACCAGATAAGCCATATCAACCTACTCGGCTTATCAGTCATTCAACGGGTTGTTTAACTTCAGTTGCTGTCTACCATCAGTTTAGATTTGATTAGGCATATAAGCCTCTACACCACATTAAAGCTGAATAACTTTGAGTCGATTGGTATTATCGTCAGAGTTTCCAATTGTGAAAAACTGTAGAGATAATTCACTTTAACTTTATTTGCTCTTTTTCGTAAACATTCGTTGAAATCTTGTACAATCAAAGACTATTAGTGTTGGGAAATGTACTTGGTTTTTTTACCTAGGTAAGGTATAAGAAATTTAAGGAAATAATTTTTTAGTTAACTCTTGTTGTATTTTATCAATGGCTATTTATTCAAAACCAACACAAATGTATACTTATTATAAATTTACATGCAAGCAATGCAACTGGAAAAAATAAAAAGTAAATCAATTTATTACCCAGCGCCCCACATATGTATCAAATTGAAAGGGGCGCAGACTACATTAAATTATTTCGGTTAGTAAAATAGTTCAAGTTTTCAAAAAGATTTAAAAGAGGAATACTTGTTATATTATCGGGTATCGTTATCAATATATGTAAATTAAATAATATTATATTTTTATTAAAATAAAACTCAAGGTCTTTATAGTGCCTATTTTTTCTTTATTCAAAATACCCTTTCTTCTCATTCTTCAATACATTTAAACCCCGTCGGGGTCCGTCCGTACAAAATATTGACAAAACACAAGCTTTTAAAATTCACTTAAGGGGTTTTTCTACTCTCGAGGCGAGAAATTGATTATTAAGGTATTTACAATTAATTAAAAAAATTCGGACACCTACACTTATAGAAATTTCTCCCTAAAACCCAATAAATCGCCATTGAATTTTCGCCAAAGGCAAGTCACCTTCATTTAAAGAAAATTTCTTAAATTAATGGTGACTCCTTTCATTAAACAAGAAATGCAGCTCTGAAACCAAGAAAACAAGAAAAATTAATTCTTAAAACAAAAAATATATTTCTTTAAAATAAGATAATTTCTTAGAGTTCTGCCAGGGGATGCGTCGCGTCACGAACAGTATTTAGATTCCAACTTAAACTAGGGGGAATAAAAAAAGGATATACATGATTTGTAAAATTCACATTAGAACATTTTGATACACAAATAATATATTATTTGGTATACCAAATAAATAAAATATACTGACATTATTTTGCGGTCGTCGGCGAGAATCGAACCTTGGCCTTCCGTGCGGGAGTTGGACATTGTAACATTAGGTTACGTTCGCACTCAAATAATGAGCGCCAAAAGCAATAACTGTTTTGTAAGCTTGGACGAGTCATGTTTAAAAAAAAAATCGAAATAATCAAAATACATATAAAACACACATTTCCAGAGATGGTTTATAATCTGATACTATCTATTCAGAAATGGTTTATTTTTATGTTTTAACAATAACAAAAGAGGAAGCTAACTTCGGCAAGCCGAAGCTCATATACCCTTACAGCTATTGCAAAAATTAAATATTCTTGAAGATATTAAAATTATGATTTACTTGCGTGTATGTTTAAAAGCATTGAAGCTATATAATAGCGTTTTCCGATTTTAATAAAATGAAAAGCGTTATTCTGAACTGTCAAATAATTAAATAATCAAAAAGGATTTCTAAAAAAAAATTACAAATGAAAAAAGTTAAATTTTTTTATTTTTTTTTTTTTTAATATTTTTATTACTCCCATGGGAGCTATATGATATAGTCGTCCGATTTTGATGAAATTAAAACTGTAATTCTGAAATATTTAACCATTACTATATGTCGAAGAACTAAAAAAAAACTTCTGACTGAAATTATAATACCCTCTGCATAAAAAGAATTAAAGAAACCAATTCAAGTGCAATTTTTTGGCAAGTAGTCCAACAATAGTGGTTTGTAATATGTGTTTTTAAACGAGAATTGTAAATATTGATTGTGGTGTCCCTGTAATCTTGTATAGCCTTCCCAAAAAATTTAAAAGCTTTTAGTGATTTGTTATTTTTAAATACAGCTACAAAGTGATTCAAGCACTTTCAAACTCTGAAACTTGTTACATGTTGTAGATTATTCATTTCTGTTAGTATAAAAGTTCACTTTTGCGCACCTTTTTCTGAAATTAAACTTTTTAGGTACTAACCTCAAATTTGCAAACTCAAAATTGCTTAACATATGGAAAGCAGAGGCGACAAGGAGATTGTCATTTATGAAAGCGTCAATACGTGGTCCTTGTTCCAAGCAATATGAGGCAATTTTGGTTAAAAATAAAATCAAAGTCTTTGCTACAATGTAATACAGAAGTGGACAAAAAGCAAAACGAACTTAAATCTATTCAACCAAATAATCTTCTTGCCTTAGCTCGCATTCAAATGTTAGAATAAATAAACCATTGGTTGGACGGCCTATATTGTCCTTTCTATCGAAAAAAATATAGAACGCAAAGAAAAGAAGCGACAGATCTAGCATCCAGGCAGGCGGGCAATTTTAGATTACTAATTCAAGCTGCAAGTGCAGCTACCCGAAAAAGCAAAATACTTTCGAAAGGTTTTAAGCCATCCAGTTGCCAAGCCAACTAAAGTGTCCGCTAACGATGCTCTAGCTCTCTTCTTGGACCAGGGCTCAAGCTACAAGCGAGGGAACTCATCAGAGGATCCTTCAATAGTGACTCCTCTATTTTTGCAATAATAGTTACTCCACTGAGACTAATTGATGCATCAAGCAACATTTTGTGGAATAATAGAACAACACGATGGCAATACTGCTCGTCGGGCTTTTGGTGAACCAATCAAATTTTCAGAAATTACTGGAACACATCTTAGGCTTATCTGAGAACTATTTTAATATGTCTCTCAAGCCAGTTTCCAATAGACGTCACTACATTTCAAAGCTTCTGCTTCAAAACTGCTTAGATTATAATCGATGAGTATCCTTGGATGCCTATGACTGCGACAATCCATAAAATCCTTGTGCATTCTGGTGTTATTATTGTGGGTTACTTTGGTGAAGAGGGTGCAAAATCAAGAAATCCGATCGCCATGCAAGGAAATGCAGTCGGATGGCTAACTTTTCGGACGTTTTCCAAAAAAGACAGACGTAAACAAAAGAAGCAGAGCCTTCCAAATGAGATTGAAAAGTTACTATCTTGCGAACTTAATAACACAGGCGATCTGGACGAAGATGAGATGGAAGACAATATTTTCGGAAGTTCATGTGAAGTTCAGCTGGAAAACGAGCAATTAAAACAAAATTATAGATTTCTTTATCACAGAGTTTTTTAAACTGTTTTCAATACAATTACTGCGTTTACTTTGAAAATAACTTCTCCGAAAAGAATTAAACCTGTTTTTTATTATTTATCAAACAAAAAAAAACCCCTGAAGAAAGGGCGTAACCCCGCTTATTTTTTTAAAAACAAATCCCGAGAAAATTGCTTTGTTTTTAAGTTATTAATTAATGCCACAAAAAGTCGTTCGCCTCATAGTGCGATGTCCTCACACACTATATTCAAATGACCGAAAAACAAGCAATGCGAAAGCCATGTAAGCGGGACAACACGTGTAGAATTCGGGAGTTCGAATTTCAAAACTGTCCTTCTCTCTCTAACGTATCGAATTTTTGTCGCCATCTTGCATGATTCTCTCTTTTTCGACTTGAGAAAACTTTCACGGAGAGAGAAATTTGAAACTTACCATTTTCCAACATGAACTGAACCTTTTTCAATAATTTATTATTTTATTTTAATAGACGTTATAACACTGTGACTGCAATAGTAAACGGTACTCTTGAAAAACAATTGAAGGAAACAAAAAGGAATATACAAAAATGCGCTCGGTCTTGTATTACCGTTCCTACATACACCCAAAAGAAAATCTATGTAAGTCCAAATATTTTCACTTTGAACTAAATATTTTCGGTACTGATTTAGCCCCGAGGTGTCTTGTGTTTAAATCAAAGTGTGTTACATGGTTCATTTTTATTTTTAAGAATGAAAAAATATAGTTTTAAATTAAAAAAAAAATAAATCTATTTTTCTAACCAATTAAATATGTTAATAATTACATTATCATGGTTTTAGATTATTATAAGTATGTTAATATTTTGAAAAACAATTTTAAATTCAGATATATTAATGTTTAATTTTACTTTGGGTGTACAGTGTACAAGCGAAACATGCAAATGCTGAAAACTATTTGAAAAAAATTAAATGAACTAAATTTTTTTGAGCATACACTACAAAAAGATATCAGTTTTATTCAATTATGCATTAATTTTTTGCGTTTTGCACATTCTTTTTGTTTAATTTTAGAACAACAAATTTCAAAACATAAGGTATTTAAAGTTTTTATAATATGTAAATTTTCTTTAAATTTCAGAGTGTATGGATCGTCAAACTCCTTAGGCCAGCATTTGATGAAAGCTAATAGGATTTTAGTTTTGTTGGAAATGGTACTAACGAGGCGGTAAAAGCAAATCCTATGGTCGAACAGGACAACAAGATCGTTAACAGTATGCTCAATAGAGTATGTGCGAACTAATGGATTGGATCGTTTTATGTATGCGCAAGTATATATTAAATTGTTTATTAATAATACTACCAAGTTGATTAAAACAGTGCAAGATATAAATTAAGAAATAATGATTGCAGTAAGCGATGACGTGTGACTGTGGACGGCCGGACCGCTGCTGGAGTTAGATCTGCATTGGTTGACGATTGCGTATGAACTGACGAAAGAGAGAAGAGTAAATGGGGACCAACTGCCCCAGATCGATAAAATGACATGGACTTGCATTTATCTGGATTAAGCAGTAGCTTGTTGACTTGACCCCAGGATTTATGGTTTTTAAGTCGAGCTTGAGCTGCCTAAAGGAACTTGGTGAGGACATGCTCGTATGCATGCACAACTTGACGTCAAACTCCGTATAAATTTGATCCCATGGTTTTGGAGATTGAAAGCCTCAACTAATAAAGATAGTGCTCTTGCTGATTAGTTGATTTGGAATTATTATACAGCGGCACTGATGCTGCAAATGAGATTTTCAAAAAGTTTTGGAATAGCTTTAAGTTTGGCAATACTGCAGTGGCTGCTTTTATCAGTCTTGCTGCCCTTTTTGGGAAGTGGAATAAAAAGAATTCCGTCTATGTGAAAGATTATAACCGGAAAGAAATTAGAGTCAGTTTGGGGAGCTGGTAAGAATATCTGGCCATTTGGTCATTTGATGCAGATGTGTTGTTAAACTAAAAATATGGTGGAAAACTGTTTGATTTGCGTTTTAAGTTTACAAATAAGTAGAATTGAGAAGAATTCTGTTTTTTGGAACCGAAGATGAAATGCTCTGGCCGATAAAAATATCGATTACCTTGGAAAGTCAAATTTTAAACAAAGCTATTTCACGTCTCTGCTTTAATAATTTTAAGACATCGAAAATGTGAAAATTCCCGACACCGGCGCAACCAGCGTGTGCAATGTTGTCACAGAGACAGCAGAAATTGTTGGCTGTGGCAAAGTGATTTTGTTATTAAAAACACAATCCAAAGCACAGCATGTACCTACTGTTTGGAATTGAATAATTTTCGCGGCGGAGAAGGGATGATGTGAAAAAACACGACCGACTACGGCAGAGATTACATGATCGATAAATATGCTTCGGACGTTCATGCACTATGATCAGTACAAACAAGTGGTCCTTACAACACCAAGCAAACACCCAGAAAAAAGTAGAACGAATAATTTTAGTGCGGACGTACTTGAAAATTGGACGAATAATTCTTAAAATTTTTAGGACGAACGTCCTAAGTAAGATAAGATAAGAATATTTAAAATATGGCAGCTGATCTGGGTTTATTTGCATTTAATTTGTCGCGAGTGAAAAACAAAGAAAATTTAAAATGAGTGAGTGCAGTGAAAATTTAAGGGATCAGCAGGATATATGTCATGCTATCGTGGGACTCGCAAATTTGGAGGAGGAGGAAGATGAGCTGGTGAAGGTGTTCCAGGGATTTGTTGAGGAAATCGTACTGCCACCGCAGTTGTTAAAAAAAAGCGAAAGTCTCCATGCGTATGGGCGTTTGTAAGCAACAAAATTTAATAATAATTAATAATTAATTATAATGAATCTATTTAAAATTAAAGAATCGTTATGGGAACTGGACGTGCCTGAAAACACAGATGCCTTTTTTAAGGAAAGTTTTCGCGTGGAGAGGGAACACTTCAACACATTGGTGGAACAGCTGCAAGGCCTCAAGAAGAAGGACACCAACTTCAGGGACGCCATACCCTTGGACAAGCGAATAGCTATCGCCTGTACACGTTGGGGTCGTCAGCGGAGTACCGCACTGTGGGAAGACTTTTTGGAGTGTCGTCTTCCATGGTTGGCAAAATATTGCATGAGTTCTGCTTCGAGCTGTACCGGGTGTTTGCTCCAAAATATTTGCCCTGTGAGTTCCTCACACAGGAGAAAGTGGAAGAGTGCGTCAGGGGATTCGGAGCTCATGGATTCCCGCAATGCTTTGGAGCAATTGGTAAGTAAAGTTATGGACGCAGAGTTAATTGATATAAATCTTATAACTATCTTCGAAGATGGTTGTCATATTGAGATCCGCCCAGCCGCCGCCGAGGCCATCGACTATTACAATTATAAAGGGTGGTATTCGACTATCCTTTTTGCATTGGTTGATTACAGGTAAGAAGATTTTAGTCCTTATTTACTGAATTTGTTATTGATATACTTTTTTGGCTCATAGATACAGATTTCTGTATGTCAACGTGGGCTGCCCGGGCCGCTGCCACGATTCCCAAGTTTATGAGTGTTCAGCGTTGAAAAGTATTGTGGACAATACTGATCTATTTCGAGCCAACTCCAAACGCATAAACGAAACAGATGCGCCTGTGGTTTTGCTGGGCGATCCGGCATTTACATAGGTTTTCAACAACCTTAATTATACGCTTTCCAAAGCAAGGAGGGTTGTAAAGAACGCTTTTAGACAGTTGAAATCCCGCTTTCGCAGGATTGGAAAGGACCTAGACAACCGATGCGATAAAACATCGAACATTATTTTGGCGTGTTGTGTTCTACACAACTTTTTAAATGAGAAGAACAGTGCGATTTTGGAAACCTGGTCGAATATATTCGAAGAGAGGCCACAGACTGAAGAAACAAATGCTTCCAACGACTGCGACAACGAACCAGAGTGCATTAGAAAAGCAATTACCTCATATGTTTAAGCCAATCTTTAATATAATTTTATTTGGAAAATTTAATACAACGACTATGTATTTTGGTCTGCGTTCCGCTTTTCAATCGTCTCCAGCGTCTTTTCGATCCGCTCCATTACTTGGAGACGCCGATCCCCGAGCTCGATCAAATTCTGGGACATGTTCACCAGCTCGTCGGTGCACCGATTGGTGGCTTCCACCATGGCAGCTTCAAACGGGGTCATCTCCGGCTTGTTCGGACGTCGACGTTTCGAGGACGACGAGCATGCCGCCTGGCTAAACACACTTGAGCCATCCAAAGACTCGTTCTCCAAGCCCTGGGAGAGAAAGGCATCCCCCTCTAGAGATTCATCGGCTATGAACGAGCTTTCGCATTCATACATGGGATTCTCATCTGAGGAAAAAATTAATATTGAAATCAATCCTTTTTCCACGTATTAAAGGTTTAAACTCACCAGTGCTTTGTTTCATAACTTGGGGTACGTTGATTGACCTAAAACCCCCCAAAATGCGGTGGGCTTGGTCAAAATGTGGCCAATTGGATGGTGCGCATCCTGTCGTTCCTTTCACTTTTATTTTGTCTCTAAAAATGGGTAGGTTTACTTTACAAAAATTCTGTAAAGAAAATTATATGTACTTGCTTGTATTTCCTATTGAACTTATCAATTTTAGCCTTAACTTCCTTCCATCCAACATCCAAAAGGCCGGCCTCATTTAACTTTTCAGCAATCCGGCTGAAAATATGCGTATTCTTTTGAGCTGAGCGCAAGCCAGGTATGTTTTCCTGCCACAGGTCTAGAAGCATCGCATTGTGGTGCTGAGACCAGCAAGGGTTCCTTTTCCTTTTGTTTTGACTCATCTACAAGATAAAAAAGTTAATATTTTTACAAATTTTATAAAAACAAACAATACTTACCTTGCCCAACTAATTTAAAATCAGCTGTTGTAGTGGTGGCAGTAACAAAATATCGTTTAATATCGTTATTTTTCAGTATTTTTTCTAAAAACGTTCGTGGCGAATGGTTTTTAATCGCATTTAATAATCATATTTATTTTAAATGCGGCATTTAGCCCTATGGGATTCCCTGTGTAAATAAATGCACATTTGGCTAAATGCGATTTAATGCGCCAATGGAATCAGGCTATTACTTTAAAAACGTGAAGTGCAAGTATGAGATCCGCGTCGCAGCGTTAATCAAAAATGGAAAGAGAATCGCCCAAAAAGCTGTAGGACGCGTTGGAAGAAATGGAAATGCAGGGTGTGCTGCTGTACTTGCAGGGTAAGAAATAGTGCATTTAAAGTGAAACAACAAACAATAGGCAAATGTGGTAACATCTATAAAAAAAAGGTGAAGTGATGTCGTCAATAAAATTAAAATTGGTGTGAATTACGTTACCTTATGATATAAAGTAAAAACAAATAAACAATGAGCAAACAAATAATAAAAAATACACTAAAGCGGAGTAGTCGTTAATAAAATTAAAATTCGCGCGAATTAGGTTTTCGTTCATGAGTTTATGTGCCTCTTTCCTGATTCCGAAAAATACGAAGTTAAATATATAAACATTATTTAATACAATGACAAAGTCTAGAATCAATTGTAAACGACGTTTGTAACAGGCAAGGTGTTGTAAGTGGTTGAGCAGTTGCCATACTGCGATCCACTGAAGCTTATCCTCTGCTTGATGGTTCGAAAATAAATATATATATAATATAATCAATTTAAATTATCATCATATTTGTTTGATAGTTTTATTAATATATTTTATAAGGAGGAGGAGGTTATATATGATATGATTAGTTTATACCTAATTAAACAGGTAACCAAATGCATCGTCATCTTAATAGTGACGCGAATGTGAAAACAAATGCCGAGTGCTGAATTTGCAAGTAAGAGCTTAGATATCATATATCTTAGGACTATAAGCCACATACAGTAGCCAAGTGAATCGTCATCTATTTAGTGAAATGAAATGATATCTATGCATATTAAATAAAAAGAAAGAATTATAAGAGCATATAAATAAACATATTTCAATAAGAAAAATATGAATCTAAAAACTACAAGTCTTTTTTGGTAGTCAAATGAATCGTCACCTACTTAGTGAAAAAAGCTTTCGCGTCATTTTCTAATAAAAACTAGTAATAATTAGAATTGGTGTTAAATCAGAACTTATTAAAAATAATTAAAAAGGCTGACAGAAATTTGTATAAGGGCTTCCTTTTTTGTTTTATATTCCTCTTTTTCGGAACACGGTGCTGTACCGTTGCTTTTCTTTTTTGTGTGGAAAAAAGAACGAGTCAAAAAGAACCAGTCAAAAAGAACTGTAAATACGCGTGCACACTTGTATGTACATACATACTTTTCCATGCATACTTTGCTGTTTGTTGTTTTTTTTAGATCGAGTATTGGTATTTGATTCTTAGAAAAATTATTTTAATTGGTTTTATATTTATTTCATACAGAAGCTAGAGTGACTTTGTCACTATTAGAAAGTGTGACAGAGGAGAAGCTAAGGGAAGCAGTTCCCCAGTTGGGACTGGGTATGCTGTTGAAGCGGAAGCTTAAAATTTGGAGAGAAAAAAATGTAAGTTTAATTACAGACATTTTTTAGAGTACTTTTTAACACAATTTTTTATTTAGAAAATTACTAAGGTCAGTGTACGCCAAAACGAAAACGAGACCTATTTTGTGCTCCACAAGGTAATTATTTATTATAAATGATACTTTTTTTCGTTCGATTATAGAGGTGAAGGAGCACAGAAAAACGTTAATAAATAAAAGGAATCTCGTTGAGGTGAATAAAATCTGGCTGATCAAAGCAATAGTTGAGGAAACCAACAACAACTACATTGCCATAAAAGTCGACGACTTTCCGAAACTTGTTTGTGAAATTGGTCAAATATTTCCCAACGATGGCCTGAACAAGGTAAGAATATTGTTATATATTTAAAAATATAATATTACATATACGAATATAAATCGATTTTTGCAAAAGCTGCAAGAGTATATAAAATTCGGCTTGCCGAAGTTTACTTCCTTTACTTTCAAAATCATTTATATTGTTTTGTTCTATAATCGACCGATTTTAACGAAATTTAAATTGTAGTTCTGAAATACTAAAGCAACACTATATTTAAAAAAACAAAAAAAATTAAAAAGCAACAAAGTACAATTTTTTCCATTTACTTTTCCGACTGTTCCAATAGGAGATATATGACAAAGAATTGAATTGAATTTGTTCTAGGTATTTTGATTGAGCTTAAAATACTATAATCCCTAATATTTTCTAAGCATTATTTTTATACCCTTGCAGAGGGTATTATAATTTCAGTCAGAAGTTTGCAACGCAGTGAAGGAGACATCTCCGACCCTATAAAGTATATATATTCTTGATCAGCATCACTAGGCGAGTCGATCTAGCCATGTCCGTCTGTCCGTCTGTCCGTCCGTCTGTCCGTCTGTCCGTCCGTTTATATGCAAACTAGTCTCTCAGTTTTAGAGCTATCTGCATGAAACTTTCCCAAAAGTTGTCTTTCTATTGCAGGTAGTATATAAGTCGGAACGAGCCGGATCGGACGACTATAGCATATAGCTCCCATAGGAACAATCGGAAAAATAAATGAAAAAAAATTATAACTTTGCTGTTTTTTAATTTTTTGTTTAGTTCTTCGACGTTTAGTAATGGTTAAATATTTCTGATTTACGGTTTAAATTTCATCATAATCGGACGACTATAGCATATAGCTCCCATAGGAACAATCGGAAAAATAAATGAAAAAAATTATAACTTTTCTGTTTTTTAATTTTTTGTTTAGCCCTTCGACATTTAGTAATGGTAAAATATTTCCGATTTACGGTTTAAATTATATCAAAATCGGACGACTATAGCATATAGCTCCCATAGGAACAATCGGAAAAATAAATGAAAAAAATTATAACTTTTTTGTTTTTTAATTTTTTGTTCAGTTCTTCGACATATAGCAATGGTTAAATATTTCAGAATTATGGTTTAGATTTTATCAAAATCGGACGTCTATATCATATAGCTCCCATAGAAATAATAAAAATATATAAAATAACTATAAAATAATTGAGTTGCTAATCATCATAGCTTCAATGTTTTTAAACATATACGCAGTTAATCATAATTTTAATGTTTTCAAAAATGTTAAATTCTTGCAATAGCTGCAAGGGTATATGAACTTCGGCTTGCCGAAGTTTGCTTTCTTTCTTGTTTTACTTTGTAAATGTTTTTTAGAAATTCTTTTTGACTAATTAACAATTTGACAGTTCAGAATTACGCTTTTAATTTTATTAAAATCGCATAAAGATATCACATAGCTGCCATAGGAACTATCGAATAATAGATCTGCAAATCATCAAAGCTTCAATGTTTTTAAACATAAACGCAAGATATCCTAATTTAAATGTTTTCAAGAACATTTAATATTTGCAATAACTGCAAGGGTATATGAACTTCGGCTTGGCGAAGTTTGCTTCCTTTCTTTTTAAAAGTCAGTTTAACGTTTTAAGACATGTTTAATTTTTAAGTAATTATTGTTTAGTTATAGGACTTTTATTTTATCGAAGGTGAAAAGTACAAGAGACTGGGAGGAAGGCTGAACTCCAAGTACAAAGTAAGCCACATCAACATTTTCGCGCATACGTAATTGCCTCTGCTAACGAACACTGCTCTTTTGCATTTATATCCTGTAAACAATGATAAAACTCTTGTTTGTTAAAAATATGAATAAGCTTCTTAAGACATTTTGTTCTAATGTAATTCAAAAAACACAATAAAAAAGTTGTCATTTATAATATTAAGAACTAAATCAGATAAATTACTGAAGTACACTTCGTTATGAAATTATATTCTTAAGTTAAAAACGTTTTTTACTTAAAAAACTACTCTTTAACTACGAATTTTTCGGACTTAAATTTAAAACTATTCGTACTTAAATTAAGAACTGTTCATGTTTAAAAAAAACGTTTTTTATAATTAATTTGTTCACTTCCAAAACTTAAACTTAGAAACTTTTATCTCTCGCACTTTCTTCAAGCACTTTTTTGTACTTGGACTGATGACGTTCATTCTCAAATGTAGAAATTCATGATTGAATAATTCGTACTTGAATATAGCCTTTCGTATTAAAAAATTCGAATTTACCCTACTTTTGACATCGTTCATTCTTGATTTGACACCGAAATTCTGGATTTTTTCTATGAGTGAAGCTAATTGCGCGCGGAGCCCTCTTCCCCTGGCTGCGTAAAATCGAGATCACGAGATGTTAAAGAAAAGGGACAATAAATGCACGGACAGACTAATATAAAATATATCCCAAGCTAAAAATCCTATTAATAATACTAATTACGTGCTAAGTAAAATAAAAATTGGTAAAAGATTCAGCGTTAGAAATGATATGACAGAGTTTATTAATATCATTGTTTCGAAATAAGAGGAATATAGTTCTTAGTGATTTAATAACGCACTTCCACATCTACGTGAATAAGTTTTTGAATAAAAGTAATACCAAGCATTTTTCTACGGTTGGATAAAGATGGTTAATTAAATAAAATAAGTCTATTTGAATAAAATGGTAAGATAAGGTTTGCATCCCATTTAAGGCCCCTTAGAGC